TTTGACACTATTTTCCTTCATAATGCTTTTGGAGACGTAAGATATCCTTCCATAAATATTCTTATAACTTACTTGAGGAAATGTGGAATTTAGAGGTATGTAGAAAAATTGCATACACATTTGTTATTTATCTCAGCAATGTCACATCTTGGAATCTCTTATAAAGATATACTGGAAAGAAAGAAAAGGTCCTTTATATACAAGGCTATTTGTCAGATAATTTTTTATAACCGCAAAACACAAACATGAAATGGAATTTCAGTGTGTTTCAGTAGGGAATTATTTGCCTAGACTGTGGCATATCTATATAGTGGTCTATTATATTCACTGTTATATAAGAAGAGCGATAGCACAGTGGTAGGGCGTTTGTCTTGCATGCAGCCAACATGGCCGACCCGAGTTCGATTCCTCCGCCCCTCTCGGAGAGCCCGGCAAGCTACCGAGAGTATCTCGCCCGCATGGCAGAGCCTGGCAAGCTCCCCGTGACATATTCGATATGCCTAAAACAGTAACAACAAAGTCTCCAATGGAGACGTTACTGGGCCCGCTCTAGCAAATCGACGAACAACGGGAGGGCCTTTACTTTACTTTTACTTTATAAGAAGAAAGGGAAAGACCTCTATATGTTAATTTGGAGTTATTATCAAGATTTTTTATCAAGTACAAAGTTGTAGAATAGTATTTATAGTAGTTTACAATTTATGTGGGAGATGTATATACACGTATATTTGTGGAAAATGTGCCCATTTGCTTAAATTTTCAATAGAATAAAACAATGGAATCATAAATCACAAATCTAATAACAATTATTGATTATAGGAAAGGAAATGATTGGGATAATGGAGATAGATATGGGAGTATGAATTCTGTGAATGTACTTTGTGAGAGTTTTGACTTTAAACCATATAAGTGTTTTATGTAATTTCAAAAAGGAAAAGTGTCAGTCCATATGTTGATAACAAGGTAAAACAAATGAACTTAACTATAAATAAGATTGGTAATATAACCATACAGAGAAAACAAAGTGACTTTAAAATAATACTTGTACAGTTTTAGTGGAGTATATATACATATGCATATGTGTGTGTGGTGTGTGCAAGGAATTTAACTCAGGGCCTCACATGTATAAGGCATGCACTCTACAACTGAACCACATCCTTGGGCCTAAGGCAATATTTTTTTTAAAAATTTTATTAGTGAATAACCATGAGGTATAGTTACAAATTTATGTATTTTCGTGCTTGTGTTTCAGTCATATAATACTCGAGTACCCATTCCTCCACCAGTGCCCATTCTCTACCACCGATGATCCCAGTTTACCTCCCACCCCCCCTACCCTAACCCCCCACCCCATCCCACCTCTGTGTCAGGGCATTCCCTTTTGTTCTCTCTCTCCTTTTTGGTGTTGTGGTTTGCAATAGAGGTATTGAGTGGCCACTGTGTTCTATCTGTAATCTACTTTCAGCACGCATCTCCCATCCTGAGCGGGTCCTCCAACCACACTTTACTTGGTGTTCCCTTCTCTATCTGAGCTGCCTTTTCCCCCAGCATGTGAGGCCAGTTTCCAAGCCATGGACCAAACATCCTGGTACTTATCTCTACTATTCTTGGGTGTTCGTCTCCCATTCTGTTACTTTATATTTCACAGATGAGTGCAATCTTTCTATGTCTGTCTCTCTCTTTCTGACTCATTTCACTTAGTATGATACTTTCCATGTTGATCCACTTATATGCAAAGTTCATGACTTCATCTTTTCTAACAGCTGCATAGTATTCCATTGTGTAGATGTACCAGTTTCTTTAACCAGTCTTCTGTTCTCGGGCACTCAGGTTTTTTCCAGATTCTGGCTATTGTAAACAGTGCTGCAATGAACATACAAGTGCAGATGTCATTTCGACTATACTTTTTTCCCCTCTCCAGAATATATTCCCAGGAGTGGTATTGCTGGATCAAATGGGAGCTCAATTTCTAATTTTTTGAGAAGTGTCCATACTGTTTTCCAAAAGGGCTGAGCCCGTGGCATTCCCACCAGCTGTGTAGGAGGGTCCCTTTCCACATCCACACCAACACCTGTTGCTTTTGTTCTTTTGGATGTTTGCCAGTCTCTATGGTGTGAGGTGGTATCTCATAGTTGTTTTGATCTTCATCTCTCTGATTATTAGTGATAAAGAGCATTTTCTCATGTGCCTTTTAAACATTCATATTTCTTCCCTTAGAAAGTTTCTGTTTATTTCTTTGCCCCATTTTTTGATGGGGTTGGATGTTTTCTTCTGTAGAGTTCAACCAGTGCCTTGATATCAACCTCTTATCAGATGGGTATTAAGGCAATATTTTTTAAGGACAAAGTAACTTCAAAGAAATAGGAACATGTTTAATATTTGTACTATTGACAATCATAGTATTATTGATCTTTTAAAATTATTTAAGTATGTTAATGGTAAAAGAATCGGTAGAAGGTAATATTCTAAGTGTATGTGTAAAGAAATACAAGTCTAAATTGAGGAAATGTGAGAAAACCTTGTAATTTTAAATTTGAAATAAAATATTTCTGAATTTAATTCTTTTTTCTCTTAAAAATACCCAGCTTTTGTCTACTGAAAAGGCCTGTAGACATTGGCCACTCAGCAACAGTAAACAGACCTAGGACCACACTTTGGCTTCCAAATATTATTTCACATTATAAGGAGCCAGAGGATTTTGGAAAAACATGCCAAGTTTGAGTCAGGATATATTCAGGATAAATCTGAGATATCTTGCTGCACCAGAAGTTTGAAGCTATCTGACCTCCAAAGAAAATGATGTCTACACTTAATACACATCAAATGTTTGAAAACAAGCACTATCTTGATTAGACCAATATAATTGTTACCGGTTTCCTTTGGGTATTTCTAACATACAAACTCTTTACTCTCATAGTTAGAAAGTAATTGGAAAAGATCAAACATTTTTCCTGCTTTTTGTTTCTGAACATTATATAGGGGAACTGAATAGGTGATGATGGTTAAGTACATTCTAGAATTCCTGATAGCAAATGCCAAAGATATAATATAATTAGGGAAACTTACAGCTCTCAATAACTTAACAAATCTTGGCAGTATTCATCAGTGGATGCGAAATGAATTAGGTTAAAGCTAAATAGGAAAGCTGCATAGTGGAGTGATTGGACTAACATCCCATGAATTCACTGATTTTCACCTTCACTAAAATTGACACCACCAGAAACACAGTTTCTCAAGACATGCTGTTTAGAGGATGCACATACCTACCTATGAAGGATTGAACTTGAATCTAAACTCCTAAATCAGAGTTTCTAAATCCTTTTCTAATGTTGGTCTGCTTGCAACCTTGTTTTCTGTCTGTGGCCCTCCTGGCCTTCTAGTCTTGTGCTGTGGCACTCTCATTCATGCAGTTTTTACTTGCAGCTCCCTTGACATAGCTTGATGGTCATCCACAGTTGAGAAATGCTGTGCTAATTACCCTGTGAAACTTTCTGCAGTGATGTAAATGGTCCTTTTTCTAGTCTTTCTAATATAATATCACGTATATGACTTTTTAAATTCTTTATTTTATATATATTTAAAATTTTTATTAGTGAGACACCATGAGGTACAGTTGTAGAGTTACAAATTTTGTGTTTGGGTTTCAATTATACAATGATCAAATACCCATCCCTCCACCAGTGCCCATTTCCCACCACCATGGATCCCAGTATCCCTCCCACCCCCATCCCCCCCATCGCACTCTGCCTCTGTGGTAGGGCATTCCCCTCTGTTCTCTCTCTCCTTTTGGGTGTTGTTGTTTGCAAAAGAGGCATTGAGTGGCCATCATGTTTGGTCTATAGTATACTTTCAGCATGCTTTTCCCATCCTGGGAGGATCCTCCCAACACCCTTTATTTGGTGCTCCCTTCTCTACATCTTCTCTACATGCTAGGGGAAAAGGCATATATGACTTTTGATCACTCATGATGTCACTAGTTTAACTAAGAAACATATATTAAAAGTCAGTTTAAATGGATATGTGTGAAACCAGTGGATAGTGTATTAGATAGTGTAGTTGTAGATTCAACTACTGATTTATAAGAACTAAAGGAAATTGAGGAACTTTTATTAAAAATATTAATTGAATCACTGTAAATTATAAAGTTACAAGAAAGTTGTTCATAATTGAATTTCAGCCTTCAATGTTCCAATACCAATCCCTTCACCAGAGACCGCTTTCTTTCACCAATGTCCCCAGTTTCCCATCTTCCCCATTCAGCCTTCCTCTATAGCAAGGACTTTGTTCTTTTTATTTTTCTTCGCCATTTGAGAAACTGTGGTTTACAATACTGTACTTGATAGGATATTGTGCATGTCAATTTACCTCTGTTCAGCTCATAGTCCTGATCCAGAGTGACAACTTCCTTACTGTAAGGAACAACTTAAACCATTCCATGAGGAATAATTGATTCAATGTATTTGAACAAACAAGATAGTTTCCCTTGTAAAAATCATTAAGATGGGGGAAAATAAGTTGGAGAAGCAGGAAAGAAGTGACATTGTTTTTAAAATGAAAGACAACAGGTATAAGCCAAAGGCAAGTTTATTTCTGCATTGATTCAACAACCAAATGTAAATGAGATTGTCTTTTAAATCACTGGAGGCATTTGAAAATGAACTCAGTATTACCTGATACTAAGAAGTTACTAATTTTGTGAAGCGTGATAATGCCATCTGGTTGCATTTTTTAATGTCCATATCAGTTAGAGGTGCATGTTCTGCATGGCCCTTCTAGTGAACACCTCCTTAAATTTTATACCCTTATGTGCCTCACTTGCTTCACTGAAGTCCTGGCCCTGCTTGAAATGCTCTATGCTAAAATAGCTTTATATGATTGTCATTTGTCATGGTTTATAAGCACCTGCCCCTCCAGATACTCAAGATTTAATTTCTATTAATTTGTCAAAGGATGTTTTGGTAGGCTTTGTAGAACTTCCCTATTTCTTTGTCTTGATCCAGATGAACCCCAAAAGAAGAACAAAGGTGATCCCATGAACAACCTGGAAAATTTTTACCAAGAGATGATAATGAAAAAACGTCTTGAAGAGTTCCAACTTATGAGAGGTGAACCCTTTGCTTCCCACTCACTGGTCTCAGCTACATCAGTGGGAGATAGTGGCACAGCTGAGATCCCGTCATTACTCCAGGACCAGGGAAAACAGGCAGCACAGGGTAAAGGTCCCAGTCTTCATGTGGCAAAAGTTATTGATAAATCACCTGAGCAGTGTTGGACTGGGCCTAAGAAGCTGACGCAGCCAATAGAATTTGTCCCAGAAGATGAGATCCAGAGAAATCGTTTGTCAGAGGAGGAGATCCGAAAAATTCCCATGTTTTCTTCATATAATCCAGGGGAGCCAAACAAGGTATAGGCTAAACCAGGAAAAAAACTGGGTTGTTTTCATTTTTATTTACCTTTACCTATAGTAATACTTTTAAATTAGCTTTAATATACCAAAGAATCATGCCATTGGCACCATGACTGTGTTTTTCCTTAATCTTAACTTCATTATCTGCATACTATATAAGTAGCGTATTTCTATGATATACCTTGTAGTTTTCTCCTTTCCTAAGTTACCCTTAGCATTTCTAAAGAAATCTTGATGAAAACCAAATGCATGAAACTACAAGCCATACACTGAAAGAAAAGGAGCTTCCAGTTTCCTAGGCTGGTAATACATTAAAGGTTTATTCATAAATTCACCATATGTAGTAGCTATGGTACATCTGGAATATATCAATAATTAAGTATTGATAGGGCTTACAACATAATTTTTCTGATGTTAGTGTTCTACCTGGCTTTCATATGAAATACATTTTTTGGGGTAGGGTCACACCTGGCTGTGTTTGGGACTTACTCCTGATGTTCAAGGTTCACTTCTGACAGAAATGAGGGTATCAGGGATTGTACTCTCTTCAGCCCCAATATGAAATATGGCTTAAGTAAGCCTTGAAAAATTGACCAACTAAGTAGGATTGTAGAGAACTTATTTTATTATTCAAATCATTTTTTTTGCACAATCATGGTATATGTTACAACCAGAATTGAAAATTTTATTATATCACCCAGAGAAGCAACAGAAGCATTTGGAGCATATATTGTTGCATATAATTTAAAGTGCAAAACCTGAAAGAAAATAATATTAGCTTCTAGATATTTCTGAATTTTTTCATAAGGGGCGTTGTAGATAAAGGATATTAAAACTATTTTCTTTGAGTTGCTGGAGCAGGTAGGGCACTTTCTTTGCATGTAGCCTGTCCAGCTTTGATCTGTGGCACCCCATATGATTCCCCCAAGCTCTGTCAGGAGTGATCCCTGAGCTCAGAGCCAGGAGTAAGCCCTGGGTACAGCTGGGTGTGCCTCCACCCACCCAACTAAAAAGCTATTTCCTTTGAATGGGTGCATTTCTAATATATATTGTTGTTAGTTCAAGGGTACTTTGAGGTATTTTTTTACTAATTACTAAATATTACTAATATACAAAAATTTATAGAGAATGATATAGAAAATTCTTAAGTCAGCCAGAAATCTTAACATTCTTAGTAGTGTCCATAATTGCTTAATTTAAGAATAATAATACCTTTGAGAGACCCAAAGATTTCCATATATCCTCACCAATCTTATTTCCCTTTCTCTTTTCCAGAGGTAACTACTATCCAGATTTTGTTTTTAGTCCCATGCATGATACATGTTTTTATATTTTTATTATTTATATCAGTAAATTAGTAACATCTTTTGATGTATTTATATATATTTTATATGTGTGTACATATGTTATATATAACTATAGTATTGTGTTTAATAATATATAGCTAGCACACTCTACATATCCTTTTATAACTTGCCTTTTTTACTGAATGTGTATGTTTTTGATGTTGATTCCTGTTGTTACAAGCAATTATATAGTGTTCAGTTGTACTATAATTCATTTATCCATTCTCCTGAAAATTCTTTCTTTTCATTTTTTGCCATTTATAGACAATTCTGTAATATAATTTACTGTATATATCTTCAGTTGCTTGTGTTTAAGAGTTACTCTAGGACATTTTTTCATACTGCAGTTATTGTGATTTTTTAGTTCTTTTTTCTTTTTGGCCACACCCAGCAGTGCTCAGGGCTCACTCCTGACAGCCTCGGGAAATCAAATGGGTGCCAATGATCAAACTTAGATCATCTGTATTCAAGAGAGATGAGCACCCTACCCACTGTACTATCTCTTCAGTCCCTTAATGCAGTTTTTAAATATTTCATAAATAGCATTTTAATGAAATGAAAAGAATGTAATGAAGAATATAAAATTGCATTTCATGAACTAAGAGTAATTGCTTTGTTCTTTTTCTTTTTTTCTTTCCTTTTTCTTTTTTCTCTTTTGGTTGTGCCATGGAATGATCCTAGTGTCTCAGGCTACCTCTGAGCTAAATCTCTGACTCAAATTATTGTTAAGCAACTTTTATTTTACTCCTGTGTTTGTGCATGTGTAACCTATTTGTGAGCCAGAATGTAAAATGTGTTTCTTACTTACTATACATCTCTGTAAAAAAATGTGGCAATATTTCTCTACTACAGTGGTTCTCAAATATTAGTGTGCACCAGAATTACCTGGTAGGTTTGTTAAAACACAGATTATTGACTCTGCATCCAGAAGCTATTTTGTTTTAGTAGATTTGGAGTAGAACTTGAGAATTTATATTTCCAAGAAATTCCCAGGAGAGGCTTCTACTACTGGTCTGAATGTGACATTTTAAGAATCTCTGATCTATGCTACATACCCAAGATTGATACTGTGATGTTGGGTATGTATATTTTCAACTTTGAATGGGCAGAATTTCAAAAAATCTCTTTCACATTCTTGCTGAGATTTTGTTGTATTACAAACTGTTTGAAAGATATCTCATTGTTTTAAATTTGCACTTTTCCTGATTTCTATTGAAGATATATCTGTGCATGTATTTATTAAGTAACCTTATGTGAATTGCTTGCTCCATTTCTTTACCTATTATCTGATTGTATAGTATTTTTATATTATATATACATATAACTTCAGACTTTTAGATAGAAACCCTTATTATTCTTTATTTTGCAGTTGTATTTTTCCATTGTTATCTTTTTAGAATTGTTTCCTCTTTATTTAAGTAGAATTCTTATTTTAATGTAGACAGACTATCAGTATTTTTGGTACTTTGTGCTTTTTTGAGTAATTTTAAAGAAATATTTTCAAAAAATAAGAAACTGGGGTGTATGTCATTACCTAATTTATGACTTTAATACAAAGCTTTAGTAATCAAAACAGCATGGTACTGGAATAAACAGCATAGGCTCTCTACTGGGTCAGAATTGAATACCCAAGGTCAAATCACCATATATGTGGATGGCTAATTTTCGACAGAGGAGCTGAACATGATATGGAATAAAGATAGCCTCTTCAACAAATGGTAATGGGAAAACTTGATAACCACGTGTAAAAGAGTAAAGTGGGATCCATAGCTCACACCTTACACAAAAGTCAGTACAAAGTGGACTAAAGACCTTGAAATCTGACTGGAAACTGTAACATACATTGAGGAAAATATAGTCAGAATGCTCCAAGAGTTGGGCCTCAAAGGCACCTTCAATGATATGGTGCCATTGGCAAAGGCAGCAGAATTAAAAGTAAACAAATGGGACTATGTCAGATTAAAGAGATTCTGCATGGCAAAAGAAACATAAGTTGGGCTAGAGCTATAGCATAGGAGGTAAGCCTGCATTTAGCTAAAATGGGTTTGATCCCCAGCACCATATATGGTCACCTGAGCCCTGCCAGGTGTAGCCCAAAAAGAAAGAAAGAAACATGGACTAAAATTACAAGACTGCTAACTGAAGAGGGAAATGTTTGTATTCAACACATCAGATAAAGGATGATATCCAGGATATATAAAGTATTCACAAAGATCATCATCAGCAGCAGCAGCAGCAGCAGCAACAACATCAATGAAACATCCAAAAACCCTATCAACAAATGGGGAGAGGAAATGAGCAGACACTTCTCAGAGGACAACAGGTGATTGTTGAATAGATGAGCATGAAAAAATGCTTATCTTCACTTTCCATTAGGGAAATTCAAATCAAGACAACAATGAGATACCATCTCAAACCAGTGACAATGGCACACATCAAAAATAGAATAATCTTGTTGGAAGGGATGTGGTAAAAAGGAACTCTCATATGCTGCTTGTGGGAATGTTGTCTGGTTAAACCCCTGTGGAAAATATTATGAAGAGTTTTCAGTAAACTTAGAATTGAGCTCCCACATGACCCAGCAATTCCACTTTTAGCTGTCTACCCCCAGGATGCAAAAACATTAATTCAAAAAGCGAATGCACACCATTGTTCATTGCAGCACTTAGTACAGTAGCTGAGATATGGAATAAACCTAGTGGAATGAATTATGAAGACATGGCATATATAAACAATAGAATACTGTGTAGCTATAAGGAACAACTAGATCATACGATTTGTTGAAACCTGCATGAAATTGTAAGAAATGTTGAGTAAAGTAATGCATAAGCAAACACAGAATGATTTCACTTATCTGAAGTATGTAAAATAACTGGATGTGGAAAGGCAATGTAGTAAATGGGGGCGTGGGGAATGCCTAGGTCACCCTTCACCCCAGTATATAGAGAAGGAACTCGATTAATTCTATTATTAGTTCTATTACTGGATTGCCTTTGGCTCTTTGTTGCTACTTTGTGTATCTTTAACTCCCACATATGAGAGAGATCATTCTCTACCTGTCCCTTTCCTTCTGACTTCACTCAGTATGATATCCTCTAGTCCCATCCATGTTGCCTCATAATTTTATTCTTAGAGCTGCATAATATTCAATTGTGTATATATACCACAATTTTTTGATCTGTTCATCAAAGTGGGCCATTTGGGTTGGTTCCATATCAGGGCTACTGCCCTAAGTGCAGCAATGAACATAGGTGTGATTATCTTTTCTAATTAATCTTTTTGTGTTTGGAGGATAGGTAGTAAGAAGTAGTATTACAGAGTTGTGTGTGTGTGTGTATATATATATATATCTCCATATTGCCTTCCATAAATGCTGAGCCTTTATAGAAAGATGACATTTTCACCAATAGTTGATAAGTGTTCCTTTTTCACTGCACCCTGCCAACACTGACTCTCAAGACTTTTTGGTATGTGCCATTCTAACAGGTGAAGAGCAACCCCTTTTGAGAACATTGTGGCAACATATAGTAAAAATGGTACCTGTTAATAAACTTTGCTAGCAGTTCTACACCTACCTAAATATCTAGCCTAGAAAAACTTATACATGCATACTAGGAGGTGTTATAGGAATGCTCATTTGTTGTAGTATTT